ACACGGATGGAGGCGTGAACAACAAGTGGATTTTATGTTGATAGACGTAAAAACTCGATCCAACATCAAATGCTGCCGGGTATGTCATTGGTTGGATACCGGTTCGGATCACAAACATGTTGAACTTTGTCTGACGCTGAACGCTACGATGCACCCGGCACCGCGGACACGCCACGCAAATTGGAACCCAGAGATTAGCGGGACTTTGTATAGACATGTTTTGGATCCCAAGTGAGGGCCCAGATGGGGGACCCGACTGGATATTTCGAGCCCTCGGCCCCGACGGGCCCCCAGGAGGAGGCCCCCAGGAGGCCCCAAAGAGGCCTCCAGCGGCCCCCAAGAGGCCTCAAAAGGCCCCCAAGAGGCTCCCAAGAGGCACCACCACCAATTTAAGGTGGCGGGATGTGCTGAAGGCCATTAGTTATTCCATACCTATAATATACACATAAAACGAGAGATACAAGTATTGGTTGTTGTATGTATGTGCGTGTGTGTGCGTGTTCTTTGCAGCACGAGACGTCAGAACAGGAAGGCACGTCACCAAATGCAACGATGCCAGCTGTGTCCCAACATACCTAATTAAGAGACGCCGATGTGTAGATCAACATGCATTCTCCGCATCGGTTGGATTGTGCGCAAATTCTTAGCGGGCATGTCCGTGCAAGAGCTCATCCAACACAGAGCTTCCTAAACTACCAAAATGTGAAAGGATACCACGGACTGTGGTGCAATCAAATGGCCCCCGTTCGACGTATCATGCTTCCGGGAACAGGGAAGATATCAACCAACCAGTGTTCAGCGATACCTCGTCAAAATGAATATGGAATACGAACAGCAACCTTGAACAGTTCCTAGCATGGAATGCTGCGCATTATTGCTACATGCATGTGCGGGGACGTGCTTCATCCCGAGAGCATTCCCCTCCCTCCCCCAAACCAATTCCCAACGTGGCTCGGACGTGTGACACTGACCAATGCGGACAGGGCAGCGCGTCAGGATTGCCGAAAGCGCGAACCACGCCCCAGAATCCCCACAACGATCTGGGACCATCAGGCGGTCGCTAGGGAAACGCCCCCGCTGCCCACGACAGGTGCCACACCTGCACCGAACTGACGAGAGCACACCCTTCGTCGCCCCTCGAGAGAAGCATCTCGGCCTCCGAATCTCAAGCCTTCGCGTCCTCGCTTGTCGGATCGGAGCCTGCCGTCCAGCTCCGAAAAGGGCGATGTCTCCACGGACTCCGAGAATACTGTGCCCAAAGCGTGCACGACCACCCTCGACGCTGACCGCGCCTCCCAAGGGACTTCTTGGTTCCAAACCTTCACGTCTTTCAAACTACCACGGAAGTATTGGTTCTGGAACAAATAGTGGCCGCCGACCATCATGCGCGGCCTGTCCACACGTAGCGGTGCCATCCCATCCGTCCGCTCACCCACAAGCACGCCGTCCTTGAACACTTTCATGTGCCCATCGGCCGAAACAGTGCACAGCACGGTGAACTCTTCTCCGAGCTCGAATAAACCATTCACGCGCACGCTGATTGGCTTCTTCCCCCGGAAGACGGTGAAGTGGAAATCTTGAGTGAGCTCGATGGCCCCCGCTGTGATGCTGTCCTCGTCCGCTTCGAGGGAGAAGTCGAATATGCGGCTCCACGGGCCGACGCCGTCCATCCTGGCGGTGCACATGAAAGAGAACTCCCCGCCCAACAAACAGACCAACTCCGGCGACAAATTGATGGGCGTCTCACCTGTGAACGAATCGGAGTGTTCGACAAGGGGCTCCGCAAAGGATAAGGGCGCCGTTGAGACCTCCGACGACGCAACCACCTTCAAAGTCGAAACCCCTAAACCGGCGCAGTCGTCGGCCGTGTCACCCGCCATGGCCACGCATGAGTCCTGAAACTGCATTTTGTGGGCTCCGAAGATTGTGTTTACAATCCCCCCGTAGCGTCCGTTATGGGGGGGAAAGAAAAGAGGCCCACGTGGCGGGGTAACAGTAACATGGCGGGCGCGGTCATTGTAGTGGCAACCTTGATGGTAGCAGCAATAGTGCCTGTGAGTACTGCGCCATGCCTGACGGGGCGTGGCCCGCCCCCCCCCCCCCGAGCTCGTTCCGTACTGTGGCGAGGGGGGGAGGGGGGGGAGCCCGCAGGAGGGGCGCCACGGGCTCATCCAAAACACAATCTCCTGTGTCGCTTGCTTAAAGATGCTCGTATACCAGATTGCGAAAAGAACACCTTGTCGTGACGACGACAACTCTTGAACCAAAAAGATAACGGACTCGTTATGGAGATCTTCCTGGAGCCACCCCTCCCACTCCTGCTTCGACGCTGCGACGAGCGCCTGCCGCCTTGAGCCGAACTTGAGCCGCACTCGAGCTGAGCTGGAACCGAACTGTGGAGTCGAGATAGGGCCACCCGCCTCCACGATACGATGCTGGCCCCAAGCAAGTCCAACGCCTGTCGACTTGAGCCGAACTTGAGCCGCACTCGAGTTGAGCTGGAACCGAACTGTGGAGCCGAGATAGGGCCACCCACATCCACGATGCTGGCCCCAAGCAAGCTCACGAACCGAAGTCCGACGGTCCCTGTCAGGAGAGCCCAGATTCGAATCGATAAGTCGGATCGGCAACCGACACGAATCGGATCGGCTGACATCGGCAGCCGAGTCGGAAAAAAATAGAATCGGCGGAAATCGGCAGGCTTGTATGCGTCCAGTGAGAAATCGGAACCCAAATCGGAATCCCAAGTCGAATCGAATCGGAATCGGAATACATCGAAATCGAATCGAATCGAATCGGGGGAATCGAAATGAGCCCTGCCCCGTCCCCCTCCGCTTCGTCAGACACAGCGTCCCTTCGCCCTCCACCTCGTGAGCGTTCTGGGAAGGCCCGCCCCCCTTCTCGCTCCCCCCTCCGCGGCTCGCCTGCCGACCACGATGGCCCAGCAGATCCCGACGATGGGCCCACCATGCCCCCAAAACCAGCCCAAGCAGCGCTCTCAAGGGGCTCTCGAGGGGCTCTCGAGTGCCCCAGGAAAGGCCCCAGGAAACGGTGCGCCAGCCTCCCAAAGAGGGGTGGGGGCGCCAGCTGAAGCTTCCTCAGTGTTTGATCGATGGACTCCAAGATCGGCCCAGGGGCTCAAGGGGTGCTCAAGGGGGCTCGAGGGCCAAGGGGACTCAAAGGGGCCAGGCCAGAGAAGTCGGCAGCCAAAATCGGCGTCAATTCTTGCATTCGATCTATTGCACATCCAAATCTCAACCTTGCAGTTGCCTACCGGCTCGGCAGAGTAATGGACCAAAATAGCAACGCGAAGAGGGCAACAAATAAGACAGGTTGCACGCCAGAGCGTCGAACGGAGGTTAAGACACAACATGACCTTGCCATTATAAGTGATGATGAGATGGGTTCATCTTCTGCGGCATGCGTTGACGAGGAGCCCCCTAAATGGTTGAAAGCGTCTTTAAGAAAGATTACACCAGAGAAACAACCCAATGGATGGTTTTCGCTGAGGGGATCGACAAGAAACCCGGGAGCCCGGGAACCCAAAACCCACCGAAATCGGCACGGAACCAACAACCGGGAACCTGGGAACCCGGAACCGGGAACCCGGGAACCCAGCCTACTACCAAAATCGGCGGGAAACCTTCGCCAAATCTTTCAACGTCCGCTTGGACCCCTTCAGTGCAAGCACTGATTGGGGAACAACAGGACAGGAATCTCCAAACATTTTTCGGCGAAGCTCGACACGCGGAACGAGGAGACGTGAAAGGAGCGAGGAAGGAGGCGTGACGAGCACTCGAGAGTGCCACAGAAGTGAACGACAGGGTCGACGAGCTCGAGGTCGAGATAGCTCTCGAGGTGGCCCTCGACGAAATGCATGCCGCCAAAAGACATGAGGGACGAGGTGGAGGAGATCGTAAAGGAAAGAGACAAACAGGAGGTGAAGGCCATCGTGAAGAATGTCGAGATTATAGAGGAGGAGGGAGAAGAAGGGAGGAAAAAGGATTCTCTTCCTGTCACTCCTTCTCCTCCTGTTCCGACTCTACATCCCGTCCTCCTCCTCCTCCTCCTCCTCCTCCTCCTCGCTCCCTCCTACTCCTCCTCCTCCTCCTCCTCCTCCTCCTCCTTTCCTCCTCCTCCTCCTTCCCCTCCTCCTCATCCTCCTCCTCCACTGCCGACTCTTCATCCCTTCTTCCTCCCCCTCTCTCCTCCCCCTCCTCCTCATACTATGATCTCTGGCGCAGGTGTGCCCTGTACGCGAGCGTCAGGTGGGGAGATCTGCCCGGCCCGTGTTTCTGGGGGTGGCTGGCCATCGCAAGTGGCTGAGGATGGACCGGAGATGACCGAAGAGGCAAGGACGCAAGGGGTGCCCTGGGGAAGCCGATCATCCCTTACTGTGCGGGTCGACTGTAGACTCGCCCGTCTGTGGAGGGGTTTGCACCCAGCCACCAGAATGCCCTCTTGAGGGGCCCCGTGGGCTTGGCCGTCTTGAGTCTTGCACGGGGTTGGCACGTGTGGCGAAACTCGACTGCGGGGTCTTCTGGGCGCCAGCGTCTCCTGGTTAGTCGTTTGACCTCCATACTCCCAAACGGTGATCTTTTTCCTCCTCCTCCTCCTCCTCCTCCTCCTCCTCCTCCTCCTCCTCCTCCTCCTCTTCCGCTTCCTCACAGTCGGGCCTAAGAGGAGGAGGAGGCGGAGGAGAAGGAGGAGGAGGAGGAAAGGGGGAGAGGAGGAGAGAATGAGGAGTTGGCGGAGGATAAGATGCGTTCGACTTCTCCTCTCTCCCTCACCTTCAATCTCCTCCTCCTGCTCCTCCTCCTCCTGCTTCTCCTCCTCCTCCTCCGAACATGCAATGTCCTGATTTTGACGATACGGGGTGCCTGGAAACGTAGACTCATTCTGCGGGCCGTCATTTCATGCCAGGCTGTTCCTTACCAGTCCCGGAACCCAGCAAGGGCCCCCGCCACACGTTTTTTACTGCCACTCGCCCACCTCCTCTCCTCCCTCATCCTCCTCCCTCCCCTCCTCCCCCCTCCTCCTTCTCCCCCTCCTCGTTCCCCTCCTCCTCCTCCTCCACCTCCTCCTCCTCCTCATCCTCCTCCCCCTCCCCCTCCCCCTCCCCCTCCCCCTCCCCCTCCCCCTCCCCCTCCTCCTCCTCCTCCTCCTCCTCCTCCTCCTCCTCCTCCTCCTCCTCCTCCTCCTCCTCCTCCCTCCTCCTCCTCTCCTCCTCCTCCACCTTCACGCCCACCTCCTTCCTCCCTCCTCCAACCTCCAGCAGGGGGGGGGGGGGGCAACGCGGGCTCCTGCGAAGCCTCCCGGCCGGCGGCGATCTCATCCGCCACGGCAGACTCGGCGCGCACGAGCTCCCTGGCTGCCGGGGGGGCGGAGGAGAAGCGGGAGGGGCGGGAAGAGGGCAGGGAGGGGAGCATAGGGTTCATTATCCAAATCCTCCTCCTCCTCCTCCTCCTCCTCCTCCTCCTCCTCCTCCTCCTCCTCTTCCTCCTCGTCCTCATTATCATCATCAGAATCACATCATCCGCATCATCCGCATCATCAGCATCATCATCACCATCATCACCATCAGCATCAACAACATCACCATCATCACGAGCAGAATCGTCATCACCAGTATCGTGATCGTCGCATTCGTCATCGACATCGCCATCGCCATCGTCACCAGCACCGTCATCACCATCACCATCATCACCATCATCCGCAATGCCAAACACACACACACACACTATATATATATATATATATATATATACAGGAGACATGCGCTCCCGTGTGACGAGGTGGCAGCAACCCACCGAGCGAAACTGCGACCAGACGTCGACGCGCGACCACCGAGAGGAACACCTGGAAAACCCAGCCTGCCGTCAGCGCCGCCATCGTCGCCGCCGCCGTCGTCGTCGTCGGCGTCGAGGTGGGCGGCGCGGCGAAGCGGCGACGGGCAGCCACCCGGGCGAGAACAAAACCCGGAGCGCCCCGTCCGCGAACGGGCCTGCCAGGAGACGGCGACGAGCGGCCATCCGGCATGCACCCTGCCTTTCAAGACAAATCCTGCTCCTGCTCCTCCTCCTCCTCCTCCTCCTCCTCCTCCTCCTCCTCCTCGCTTTCCTCCCCAATCCGCCTGCTCCCCCTCTCTCTCTCCTCCTCCTCCTCATCCTCCTCCTCCTCTTCTTCCTCCTCCTCATCGTCATCACCCTCCTCCCTCCTCCCTGTTCGATCAGGCCTGGAACATACACCAAAGCCTGGCAAACAGCCCCTCAATTTAGGCATTGTCCAGGGAACCACGGATCCCCCAAAGTCGGCAGAACATCCCAAGGATTCCCCCGGGAGAGGGAGAGGAATCGGGGGCGAGCGAGGGGGGGAAGCGAGAAGGAGGAGGTCTCATCAGAGGGCGGCAAGGCTGTTCAGAAGGGCCCAGGCCTTCTGAGAAGGTTTCTGTCTCATCGGGCAAGGCTTCGAAAACTTCTCAGAAGACTGGAGGACTTCCGAGCCTTCTGAGAAGGCCCTCACGCCTTCTCGGACGCCTTGCAATTTTTCGGTCGTAACTCGGCTCTCCGGTGGCCGTTCGGGACGATCCAAGCACCCCCAGAACGCTATCGGAAAAGTGCAGCTGCTGAAGCGCATCCCGAAGCTGGAGAACCGCCAAGAACCGAAGACGACGCCGGAAAAGCTCGAACCCCGAACCCCGAAGCCGAACCCTCTCCCCCCCCCTCGGGCTCGCCGCCGAAGGAAGGGAACAATGGCCGCCACCGCCCTCAAACCCCAGGCTCCCAGGATGTCGGGCCAACGCCCGGCGCCCGCCGCTCTCTCCCAAGAGCGCGCGAGCGCCTGGGGTGGGGTGGGGGGGGGAGGGGAAGGGAGGGCGACGAGGAGAGGAGAGGAGGAACGATAGGAGGTAAACACGCCATACACCCTGCGAAATGCTTAAGAAATCGTGGGTTAAGAAATTCATAGTCTCAGAACTTGAATAAAAACCCAACATTTCTATTAAAATCTTAGGATTTACATTGAAACGTGAAGAATAATCGAGACTCTGGCCGAAAACTTGGGTTTTCTTAAGCATCGCCTAAGGTGTAGGAGGTAAACACGCCATACACAAAAACTCCTGGCGCTCCGCCAAAATTCCTTGGACCCGCTCGGGGAAACCCCCTCCCTGTGGTGCGCGGGGCGCGCGCTTGGGCCAGCGCCGGAGGCGCCGTCGCGGGGGGGGGCCCGGCGCGGACCCGAGAACTCCGCGCGGGGCGCCAGCAGTTTCCGTTCCTGCAGGAGGGAGCAAGGAGGGGGAGGAGGGGGGGGAGATGCCGTGGGAGGAGGAGGGGAGGAGGGGAGGAGGGGAGGAGGGAGCAGAGGGGAGGAGGGGAGGAGGGGAGGAGGAAGAGGAGGGGGGAGTGGAAGAGAGGAGGCAGAGGGAGGCGCGGGAGAAGGACGCCGTGGCACCCGGCAGAGGCGGCCACCGGGCACCCGGAAGAGGCACGGGGCAGGCGCCTGCTGGCAGGGGCGCCCTCCGGCGACGCCCCCCCCGCCCGCCCGCGGAGGAGCACGCGGAAGAGAGGAGGGGGAGGGCGCTGC